GCGGGCTGTGCCGGGAGGTCACTTCGGCACAGAGGTGTCTTTGTTCCCGGCTCACAGCAGCGCTTTGTTCCCGGGCCACAGCAGCGCCTTTGTTGGGCCCTTATCTGCCAGGATGCCCCCGAGCTCTCACCTGGCCGGGATGCTCCGGCTTCCCGGGCCGCATTCCCGGCTTTCCCGGGCCGCATTCCCGGCTTTCCCGGGCCGCATTCCCGGCTTTCCTGGGCCGCGTTCCCAGCCTGGCAGGCGCGGCCCGCAGAGGGTTTTTAGGGCAGACATCTCCCGGTTGGGTTTTGCCCGATTAAAACCAGGATTCCTCTCTGTTCCGGGGTTGTTGTGGCTTTGGGAAGGTGGGCTGGACTGAACTAACGAGTCTGAACTAAAATAATGAGTCTGGACTAAACTGAGTCTGAACTGAGGTTTTTTGTGGCACATCAGGTGAGTCTGAACTAAACTGAGGAGTCTGAACTGAACTAAGGAGTCTGAACTGAACTGAGTCTGAACTGAGGTTTTCTGTGGTACATCAGGTGGGTCTGAACTGAACTAAGGAGTCTGAACTAAACTGAGGACTCTGAACTAAACCAACGAGTGAGTCTGAACTAAACTAAGGAGTCTGAACTAAACCGAGTCTGAACTGAGGTTTTCTGTGACACCTCAGGTGAGTCTGGACTAAACTAACAAGTCTGAACTAAACTAATTAGTCTGAACTTAAGGTTTTCTGTGATAGATCAAGTGAGTCTGGACTAAACTGAGGAGTCTGAACTAAACTGAGTCTGAACTGAGGTTTTCTGTGACACCTCAGGTGAGTCTGAACTAAACTGAGGAGTCTGAACTAAACTAATTGGTCTGAACTAAGGTTTTCTGTGACACCTCAGGTGAGTCTGAACTGAGGTTTTTTGTGATACATCAACTGAGTCTGAACTGAGGTTTTCTGTGACACCTCAGGTAAGTCTGGACTAAACTAAGGAGTTTGGACTAAACTGAGGAGTCTGAGCTGAGGTTTTCTATGGCACATCAGCTGAGTCTGGACTGAACTAAGGAGTCTGGACTAAACTGAGTCTGAACTGAGGTTTTTTGTGATA